GAACATCATTTGGCCGTAAACTCCAAACTCTTGGAGTTTTGAAACTTCTAAGATGCACAAGATGCCCTGGAGTGTACGTCCTATGTTTACCTCTTGAAGGGTTAAAGCTTAGAATGCTCAAACGGAAACCAAACGCGCTAAAAGGTAGCAGAAATGAGTTTGACTTTTAATGAAGTGTTTGACTGAACTGGATGGAAAATTTCGAGTTGTCATAGAAACTTTACCCATTAAGACCTTGGAATAGTCCAAATCTGAGTGTTGTAGCTCTTGAAATCGGAAGAAAATGGATTAAGCTCGTCTAAGCTGTTAAGACCAATCCCCATAACATAGCCATAGGATGTCACGGTGTGGCGATTGGGGAATCATCGACTGTTTTGGCATTTACTACCCACAACATGGCCTAGGAGGGACACGACGTAGTGGGCTGCTGATTGAAAATTTTGACCTTGCTTTAATCGTTGACTTGTAAAACAGTTTGACTTTTGGTGAAACTTAGGTGGAATTGAGTATTTGTCTAAGGCTTGGTTTCAATTTGGATCTAGGAAGCTTGGGTTGGCTATTTTGATTTTGAGGTAGCTATTGGGATTTTGTTGAGTAGTTCAGGTGAGTCTATTCACTATACTCATTGGTCAAAGGCACCAATGTTGGCCTACTAGATTATCTTTGTAGGATGATAATTGTCTTTGTGAGACTTGCTAATATGTATGTATATGCTTGTTATATTTGTAACCCTTACTGATATGACTGTATGTTTTATGTATGTGGCATTGATACGGACCCGACACAACTATGTGTTGTTATATAGAGTCATTATGGACTCGGGGTTGATATGGACCCAACACATCTACGTGACTGTTATATAGAATCATTATGGACTCGGGGTGGATATGGACCCGAGGGTTCCCGACACCGCTACGTGAGTTTATATACTTATATGTTGTATGTGGTCTTATGGGGAACTCACTAAGCTTTGTAGTTACAGTTTTGTGGTTTAAACATTTTTAGGTACATCTAGTTTCAAAAGGAAGAGTCCTGCTTGATCGCACTACATCCCCTAAAGATTTATTCCGCAATGATTGTTTATGATTTTACACTGATGTTTTGCGAATACTTTTACTTTGATCATCTTTTGGGATAATGCAATGATTTTGAGTTATTTAAAAATGAAAATTTTACTCAGTATTTTTAGGACGTTTCAACAAGTATTCGAACAAAATCCATGATCCTTACCATACATATCATTGATAACACGCAAGTATGCAACAAACGAGCATTAGGTTGCTTTAAGAATTGTCATCACCATATAATAATAATAATAATAATTATTATTATTATTATTATTATTATTATTATTATTGTTATTGTTGTTGTTTGAAGCATATAAGCTCTTTATACCGATACCACCATGATCTTCACTATGCAATGACTTCTTCCATTTAATCCAATCCCCACCATAATTTACTTCGAAGTGACTCCAATATATATATATATATATATATATATATATATATATATATATATATATATATATATATATATATATATATATATATATATATATATATATATATATATATATGGGGCTCTAAAGTGAGACATAAAGTAAATGGCAAGACTATCGAAGACCGACTTAATTAAACTCAAACCACCTTGCACTGAAAGAGTTTTGGTGTTAAAAGTTGAACGTTTTTTCCATAAATTTGTCGACAATGATTTTCCAACTATCCATCGTTGACATATTAGAACCCACTTTTAACCTAAGATACTTGAATGAAAGGCGGTCGAATTGCACCCCACAGTAATCACCCTATTGTCAACTTCTTCGGTTGAGACAACACCCAATGAGTTGTATTTTTCTATAAATTGATTTTTAGCCTGGAAGCTAAATAAAAACCTCACTAATATTCCAACTAAGTTATTGGATTTTTTTTTAGTACCATTCTCCAAGAAATATTATTGTATCTACAAAAAAAATAAAATAAAATAATAATAATAATAATAATAATAATAATAAAAGAGAGTGAGAGAGAGAAATAGAAAGATTTTTGGTGCCAAATTAGTAGAAGTGGCAAAAATTGACACACACGAAACCCGATACGAACCCGATACGAAATAAACGGGTTTGGGTAAGATATTTCAACCCGTTTAAATAAACGGGTTGACACGACACGACACGAAAATTAAACGGGTAAGGTTAGGGTTGAGAATTTCAACTCGAATATGACTCGAAAATGATCCGTTTATTTATATAAAATTTTTTTGAATTATTTAAATAAAGTATAAAGATACAAAACCAAAACCATAAGTAAAAAGAAAACCTTCGAATTGACTCGTTTTGTAATGTTGAAATGACTTAGTCGTGTAGATCAAGACTTAATTTCAGTTTTTCCATTCTCTCCCAAACTACGCAGTCTCTTTCACCACTCTCACATCCTCGCGACCTTTTCATCCGCCTCCCCAACTCCCACTCTTTTTATTGTCATCTTAACTTGCTATGACTTCATATATTCTGCCTCCAAACTATTAGTTTTTCCTCTCCGCATACCCATCTCCTACTCTTTTAACATGCTCAATCTTTTAACCTCACATGACACGACATATTTCAAGGTATAGCCTAACCCGAAACCCGACACGAACTCGACACGAAAATAAACGGGTTGACACGACACAACACGTTAATTAAATGGGTCGGGTTAGGGTCAAGCACTTTCAACCCGTTTAGTGTTTCGACACGACACGACACGATTGTCACCTCTACAAATTAGCCCCTTTGAAAAAATTTCATTAGCTAGAGCATCTAAGATAACTAATCTAATCTTTTGTGTTTAAATATTTGAATCTTGAATGATTGCCCTCTATGACATGATGGGCGGTTTACCATGGCATGGTGGTGCCATGTCGCCACGGCGCGACACTCATTAAGCTACCAACATACGGCGGCGTAATGCTCATAAAACCCTAAGTTACGGGTTTTGAGCCCTATATAAAAGGCATGGGGGCTAGGGTTCGACCACCCTCAACCTCCATTAACTTATAAGAGCCTACATCTAAACCCTAGTTCATTTCCTCTTACATTTTGAGGCATTGTCAATTTTTTCCACATTTTCAAGGAAGAAAAAGTGTTTTGGGAAGCAAGGAAGCAACTAGCAAGTTCATCAAAATTTCTTGTGCACTCTATGGACCTTTGTAAGTCCTCTTAACTAGATCTTGGTGGTTTTTTTCTTATAAGACTTTGAGTATTAAGCTAATTGGTCCATTTGAAGAGTTTTAAGTGAAAGTTGGGAATACAGTTTGAAACTTAATTACTCTATGAGGTACAAAGAGTATTGTATGTTTCAGATCTGGACTCACAAGTTGTTTTGATATCATGCATGGGATTTTGAGCTTATTTATCACCATTTTGATCTAGGGTGTCATGAAGATTTATAGAAAGTATTTGCAATGGACTTAACATTTTAAGAGCTTAATAAATATTTGGATATGCCAACATGACCACAACATAGCCAAGTGTTGACCACATCACAGTAGGTAGATCCATCGTGTTTCTGTTTGAGTTAGACCACGATGTGGTCAAGGTCTTACTATGGCGTGGTGGGTTGCATGGTTAATTTTGACCATTAATCGTTATCCATTGACTTTTTTGACTATGTTGACTTTTAGTCGACTTGATGGTTTTAGATGGTAGACTAAGGTTGACCTTTTGATTAATAATCAGGTGGTGTGTAGTATAAGCCTTTACGTTTTGCAATTAGTGGTGTTAGTCTACTACGATTCAAAGATGAGTTTTCTTACTATATTTTCTAGAATGCTAGATTGTCTTTGTCAAGGTTCTAAAAAGCTCATCATGGCTTCGCCATAGCACGTCATGGTTCCAAGGTTCTAAAATGTCGTCTTAATTCATATATGTATATAAAAATAATATATATATATATATATATATATATATATATATACATACATATAATTATTAACTATATACAAAGTTACCATCTTATGTCACACCTTACAAATTACATAGCTCGTCACGGCTCGTAAAAGCTTGAAGCTTGACATCATCGCTAAGTTGTGCCTAATGGTATTTAGAACATTGGTCGTTGTGACACTTGCATGTTTGTTATATATGTTGGGAGAGGCCTACTGGGTGAGACTCACTATATGATTGGGCGAGGCTCGTTATGTATGTTGGGCAAGACTCGTTATGCATGTTGGGCAAGGCCCGTTATATATTTTGGGCTCGGCTCGTTATGGCATGTGGTATCTTGGTGAATTTATTATACTTCATGCTTACGGTTTAAATTTTAGATGTTTTAGGTACTTCTTGTAGCAAGGGGAAGAACCAGGCTTGATTGCATCATACCCATGAGAGATTTCCACACTTTCTATTTTTGATGTTTTTCACTCTGATGTTTTGAATCTATAACTTATTACTATGATTGTTAATTGGTTTTAGTTTATTTTGAAAAATAAAAACTTTACTCCATATTTTTGGGATGTTACAACTAGCTACATATAGCTCTTTGATAGCTAAAATAAAAAGGAAAGGGGGTTAAGATCCTATCCCCCCCCCCCCCAAGTAATGATAACATCTTATAAAACAAAGAAAAAACTGCACAAATGGTCCTTGTGGTTTACACAAAATTGCCACTTTGGTCCAAAAAAGTTTTGGCTAGCACCACAAGTCCAAAGTTTCCATTTTCTTGCATATTTGGTCCAATGGGTTAACTTCCGTCTGTTTCCCTCTGTTAAGTTATGTTTCACTAGTCAAATCAGGGGTATTTTGGTCATTCCCTATTTATGCCCTTTGTTTTATATTAATAAAGGAGAGTTCGTATGTATGCATTGCCATACGGATAATATCGAGCCTAATTCACATTTATAGTCCTTAAAAACCGTGAGTCGATACAATTTCCCTCCTCATTGACTGAGGATCAAGAACCCTAAACTGATTAACAAGGTTGATAGCTTCAATCAGGCGAGTTTCGTAGTGAATGCATATACCAATGTGGCACTTAAGGTTGTCAAGCACGTCATTCGACCCAAGGGTGGTTTATGGTACGTAATTTTGTTTTTGATCATTTTGTTGATTTTCTTACAAGAAATCATACCTTCTGAATTTTTTTTTTTTTTTGCTCTTGTGTTGAAGATAGACACCCTACATTGTTTACCATCAAGCTACATCATGGAGGTGAGTTCACAAAGTTTCCAAATGTCAACTACATTGAGGGTACTGTGATGTATGTAGATATGGTGGATATAGAAGAGTTTTCTATTCACGAGATGGATGCGATTATGAAAGGGTTAGGATACTCAGTTCCTCCAGTTGTCTACTATCATTTTCGAGTGCCAAAGGGAGACATGCATTTTGGGCTACGGGCCCTAGGAAATGATGATGATGTCCTCAATCTTTCCCAGTATGTGAAGGAGCATAAACGGATAAGGGTTTACACCGAGCATGGTATTACGAACTTGCTTACTTACTTTATGGCTCCTAAACCTGTAAGAAAAGTTATTATTGAGCAATTAGAGGAGATCGATGAACATCAAACCCCCCCCCCCCCAACTAATAACCAACCCAGTGGCATGCCACAAACATGCATACCACTTGTGATAGCAAATGAAGCTGCTTTAGCCTTGTCAATATCCCCTGAATATAATAAGAAAAGGGAATTTATCAAGGACAAACCATTATCATCATGTATTAAGAAATTGGTGATGGATGATGTTAGTGTTGATAGGATTGGTGGGAATAATTTATCAAGGACAAACCATTGTCATCATGTATTAAGAAATTGGTGATGGATGATGTTAGTGTTGATAGGATTGGTGGGAATAAGGATGATGCAGATAATGAAATTGACCACGGATTTAATGAATTTGATGAGGAATGTAATGATATTAACCAGGATTTTAATGAATTTCATGAGGCATGTAATGATATTAACCAGGGATTTAATGAATTTGATGAGGCAGCTAATGACTTTGATATTGGATTGTACCAACAGATTTTACAGTCTAATGAACAGAATGTAGATGATGAGGTTCATGAAGGTAAGGAAAATACAGTTAATAAGGAAGTCACTGAAGAAGAGAATCATGACAGAAATGAAATGAATGATGAGAATGTAGAGATGAGAGATTTTGCAGTTGATGATGGAAGTGAAGATAACATAGAGATTGATGAAGACAATACTGAAAGAAGTGATGAGAGTGAGGACAGTGATGATAGTGATTTCTGGGTGGATGAAGACAACATCATCCCTGATGTAGAAGTAGACATGAGGGATTTTTACATGAATATAGATCTTGAAGCAGAATTTCTTGAAAAAAGATTACCAAAGCATAGAGAGAATGATAGTGATGAGGTCAATGAAGAGTTGGATGTTATAGATAATGATCAATGGGATTCATTGGATGAGGGTTCTGATATAGATAGGAAAAGAAGAGTTGTAATAAAGAAATTGGGGAAGGAGACTAGGTGCTCTCAAGGTGAGATACACAAGGTAACTTTTAGGATAGGACAAAAATATAAAAATAAGAAGGAGTTAAAGGAAAAGATACAATTGCATGCACTGGAAACAAGAAGGAATATATTCTTTGTGAAAAACGACAAAATGAGGTTAAGGGCAATCTGTAAAGGAACTGTGGCCTTTAATGATGGTCATGTCGGTGAACCTACCCCTTGTCCTTGGGTGATACAAGGTTCTAGGTCAGATGTAAATAGTAATTGGTTCATAAAAACTTACAACCACGAACATAAATGCCTCCAGACAAGAAAAGTTAGATCTGCAACAGCAAAGTTTATCTCTAAGCAGATAATGGACCAGATTGAATCCAACCCAACAATCCCAGTCAGAGCTCTTCAAGAACAACTTCAAAAGGATTATCAAGTTGGATTCTCTATTCACAAGGTATTCAGGGCCAAATCAACTGCAAAAAAACTTGTCCAGGGTGATTACAAAAAGCAATATGATGTTCTTAGAGATTACATCCTGGAGTTGCAGTCTACTAATCCAGAAACCACTGTGAAGTTAGAGTTTGATTCAGAACCCAATCTAAGTGCTACCTCAAGAAGGTTTAAAAGGATGTACGTGTGTTTGGGTGGAATGAAAAAGGGCTTTAGAGCTTGCCTGAGGGATTTTCTAGGTTTTGATGGGGCATTTATGAAGGGCCCTTTCCCAGGACAAATTTTAACTGTAGTTGGGGTAGACTCCAACAATGGAATATACCCCCTAGCTTATGCCATTGTTGAGACTGAGAACACTGACAGTTGGAAGTGGTTTCTAGAGTGTATTGCAGATGATCTTGACCTATATGCAAACTCAAACTTCACATTTATAAGTGACAGACAAAAGGTTTGTAATTTGTTGTTTATATTTGACATATTTGGATGTGCTATATTAACTATGTTTTAATTCCTTTACAGGGATTGCAGACTGCCATTTCTCAGTTGTTCCCATGTGCTGAGCACAGGTTTTGCCTTAGGCATATACATGATAATATGAGAAAAACATGGAGAACTAATGAGTACAAAGAACACTTGTGGAATTGTGCTACAGCAACAACAGTACCAGAGTTCAATCATAGGATGCATCAACTCAGCTCATATGATGTAGAAGCTTATAATTGGTTGAAGCAGATTCCCCCACAACATTGGGCAAGAAGCCACTTCACAGGTATATACTTCAACTTCCAAATTTACCCTTTTATGTTGGTATATGTTTGATCCTTTTGTATTAGTATATGTTTGATCCTGACAATATTGTGGTGTTTTCAGGTAGAGCAGTTTCAGATATGCTTCTGAATAATCTTTGTGAAGTTTTTAATAGCAAATTGATTGAGGGAAGGGACAAGCCACTGATATCCTGCTTGAAGTGCATTAGGGAGTATATGATGAAAATAATATGTAATGTCATAAAGGTTCAAAAGAAGTGTGTTGGTCCACTAACCCCATCTGCAACAAAGATCATGGAGAAGAATGTGAATTGGGCATCTCAGTACACAGTTAGGTGGAATGGGTCAGATAAATACCAAGTGCAAGGGCCATGGCAGGATCAACATGTTGTTGATATGGTTGAAAGAGTATGCAGTTATAGGAAGTGGGAATTAACAGGACTCCCTTGTAAGCATGTCATTGCAGTCCTAAATGACAAAGCAGATAATGGTGAGGAAGTTGGAGAACTGCACACTTATGCCCACAGGGTGCACTGGCTAGAAACATGGAAAGCAGCTTATGTGTACAAGGTAGAGCCTATTAAAGGTCGAGCAATGTGGCCTATAAGTGAATGCCCAATTAATATCACCCCTCCTATACACAAAAATCAGCCTGGAAGGCCAAAGAAAAAGAGGAGGCACTCTGCTGAGGAGAAAAGCCAGAAGAAGGGAGACAATGTTGCTAGTGGTAGTGGGAGTCAAAGCAATATTGCTAGTAGGAGTGGAAAGCTTACAAGAAAGTTTATCCAAGTAACCTGCAGCAAGTGTAAAATTAAAGGGCACAATGCTAGAACTTGCAAAGGCCAAGGGGGTAAGTGATTGGATTTCAAGGGATTTTGATGTTTGTAGGGATATAAGTGTCTTTTTGGGATAATGTTATGTTTATGTGTATTGTATGTTTAGTACTTTCTGTGTTTTGGGGTTTAACCATTTTGGATGTTACTTTTGGTACTTGATAGTGTACCCCTGTGATGTATGGGAACAATTTACACTGGATTTAATGTAATGATGTCTTGATGTTATTGTAATGTATAATTTTTTGTTGTAGAAGTTGACCAGTATACCCTTTTAAACAAAACATACATTTGTCATTGATAATGTGTAAACTACATACAAAATAAATTGACCAATATCCCTTTTAATCAAAACATACATTTGTCCATATACAAAATAAATAGACCAATATGCCCTTTTAAACAAAACCACAAGACAAAACTGCACACATGGTCTCGTGGTTTACACAAAATTGCCCAATATAAATTGACCAATATGCCCTTTTAATCAAAACATACATTTGTCCATATACAAAATAAATAGACCAATATGCCCTTTTAAACAAAACCACAAGACAAAAACTGCACACATGGTCCTGTGGTTTACACAAATTTGCCCAATATAAATTGACCAATATGCCCTTTTAAACAAAACATACATTTTTCATTGATAATGTGTAAACCACATACAAAATAAATAGACCAATATGCCCTTTTAATCAAAACATACATTTGTTATTGATAATGTGTAAACCATATACAAAATAAATAGACCAATATACCCTTTTAAACAAAACCACAAGACAAAACTGCACACATGGTCCTGTGGTTTACACAAAATTGCCCAATATAAATTGACTAATGCCCTTTTAAACAAAACCACAAACAAAATAAATTGGTCAAAATGTACATACCAAATATAATCACCATTGACAAATTCCTGCAAAACATGTCTTACATTGCTTACATTATAACCAAAAAAGACTACCACAAAGTATTGCCCAAAAGATTACATTGCTTAAACAAGATACTACCAAAAACCTTAAAACACTACCAAAACCATTACATTTCAATATACTACTTAGAAACCAGCCAAACCATTACACTTACAAACCACCTAAACCATTACACTTCAATCTACTTCTTATAAACCAGAACAAACACGAACAACACCCAACTGCATAACAGGTAACACTTGAGTCTTGTGTTTTGTGACTTCACTTTGTTGATTGACCTCAGCAGCCCATGTATAATAGCTTTTGAACGTTCACAAATTGGACCATCAAACCACCCAATAAATCGACATTTGGATCCCTTCAAAATTTAAGAATCAAAAGAAGATCGTAACATGTAATGGGAGATTTATACTGAAATCCAAAAAAAAAAAATGCGTACCTCAGTAGGGCATCCCCAGAAGCGTCTACCTGGATTTTTATCAGTCCATGCTGTGCGAACTATGGCCATTTTACCACAAAAACAAAGCACCATTTTTTATTTTGATTTCTTGAAGAAATTGATCGGAGAGTTGAAGAAGACCAAAATGAGAACGACGACAAAGAAGATGGATTGGGATTCGTTCTTATTACTCTCCTTTATTAATATAAAATAAAGGGCATAAATAGGGAATGACCAAAATACCCCTGATTTGACTAGTCAAACATAACTTAACAGAGGGAAACAAACGGAAGTTAACCCATTGGACCAAATATGCAAGAAAATGGAAACTTTGGACTTGTGGTGCTAGCCAAAACTTTTTTGGACCAAAGTGGCAATTTTGTGTAAACCACAGGGACCATTTGTGAAGTTTTGTCTAAAACAAAAGAAAAATGACTTAATATGGTAATCTAGTTTTGATTTTGTGTACATTTAATCACTATGTTTTTTTGGTCCATATTTGACCATTTAACTTGCTTTTTATTACATATTTAATTCTTATGATTAGTTTCTTTAGGTTTTGTTTATAGCATCTTACATGGGACAATCATTACGAGCCACGTATGAGAACACATCATTAATAATTGTCATATGTGTTCAATTTGACACATTCTTGTAATCCCATTGCCAAATTTTGAACTTTTTACTTGTTTTATTTAGTAAAAATAACAAAATATAAGTAGGTAAGAAAGAAGGCCAAATTTGAAAAAGAAAACCTTATTTATAGAAATAATCAAAATCGACACCCAAAGAATTAGGGAAGACTCTAATTTTTTACTAAAGTGTTTTTTTGTCGTAGAAGTGAAAATTTGAGTTTGGAGGAAACAATTACAAAGAATCTCATTATATGTTATGGATACAGGTAAAATCGAACCCGGAGACATCTTATGGGTAGAGAAAAAGTGGGTGCCAACATTATTTGACAAATTCGATCGTGAATTAGGTTATTGATATAAGTGAGGAATAAGTCACGTATGGGAACACCTCATAATGATTGTTCTGCATAGGATGTCATAAACAAAACATGAAGAAACTGGTCATAATAATTTAATGTATATAACAACAACAATAACTTATTTTGAAACAAAAAACATTAACAACTAAATGTGTGCAAATTAAGAACTATGTTATCTTATTAAGTTATTTTTTCCGGTTTAACCTGGAGTAGCCGATTATAAAATGAATGTGTACCAAAAAAAACATTAGTGACAAAATATATACAAATAAAATCCATGTTACCCTATTAAATCATTTTCATATATATATATATATATATATATATAATATATATATATATATATATATATATATATATATATATATATATATATATATATATATATAGTCAGGTTCTTTTCAGAACTAAAAGATTTGTAAGAACTTGCGAACTCATAATCAGCTCATCACTTTTCAACACTAAAAACATAATTCTTTTCTAAATTGTGCGTCTAAGTCATATCTAGGCTCAAAAAAAGATTTGATAAATGTTTTTATTTTACTTTTTTGGTTGTTTGGTATTTCTGCTGATGAGCACAATCAATAGTTGTACAGACTACCGATGAGCATAATCAGCAGTCATATGGACTGCTGATGAACACAATCAACGGTCATATGGACTGTTGATTGCTCATTAGCAGTCTGTATGGATGCTGATTATCCACATCCGCAGTTTATATAACTGTTGATTGTACTCATCAGCAGTTCGTATAACTGCTAATTGTGCATACATGCAAATTTCGAAAATAAAAAATTGTCAAATCATTTTTTTAGCATAGATATGGCTTAGACTCACCATTTAGATAAGATTTATATTTTTTGTGTTGAAAAATGATGAATTGATTATATATATATATATATATATATATATATATATATATATATATATATATATATATATATATATATATATATATATATATATATATATATATATATATATATATATATATATATATATATACCCAAGCATGGCAGGATCCAAGATCCACATTTCACACAAAAATCCATAGTATGTAACATGCCAACCATGTATCCCAATCAAATACATGCAAGTATTTTCGAATTCAACTTTAAAAACTATAACTGTTTTCACTTTAATGTAGAAAAAGATTAATTTAATAATTTAGTAAATAGATTAACCTATTTTCACACCAAAACCAAGTGTCAATTTTAAATAATATAAAAAAAACGTATGAAGCCTAAAACAACTTGTAATACTTATGTATAAAACGACAATATTCAAGTAGAATACATAACAAAATAGAAACCCAGCTATATTTGTTAGAAATCTGTAAATTAAAATCCTTGACAGTTCGACAAAATATCCATATTTTTACTATAAAACAAAATGAACTATTTTTCCTTCTTAGATTTCTATATTTTTAGATAATGACAAGTGTAATAAAAATTTATTAATTGAATTAATTATGATAAATGTCATAATAGTTTCTGATCTTCCTATAATTTTTAGATGATGACAAGCGTAATAAAAAATTATTAATTGAATTAGTTATGATAAGTGTTATAATATTAATATTAAATATTTAGAAAGATTATAGGAGAAAAAAATAGAAGAACATACTCTTTTATTCTTGCAACATGCAGAAAATGAGTTCTTACTTGTTTATCATTATTTTGTAGTAGATCTTTCTAATACATTTATAAAATAAAATAAAAAATCACATGGCACTTTATTGTATTTGTTTCGTTGTAAAACACATTTTGGTTTCTAGATTGCTCTCCCAGGTGTGTTGTAGATCCGAAGACAATGGTCTGTGGTAGCTTTTTCGGGCACTACACAACTACAGGGCACCTAATTGTGTTTTTATGTGGTCCTAACCTATATGTGTATGAATGGCAAACCTACACTCAACTTTTTTCTATTATATTTGATTCTTTATATGTCATTTGAGCTTTAGGAATCATATCCACTATTTGCTTCTTCTTGGAATGCCAAAAGAAAACTATTTAATATGGTGTAGGTTTATCATGGTGTTTTGTTTATTCACATATGTCAAGATTTACAAATCACAATCAAGATACATATATTTGAACAATAAAGTAATTAAAACAACTAAAACAAAGAAGGCTTGTGATTGGAGGAAATTCGGAAGAAATTTTAAGTATAAACTACTTGATTGGAAAACACATGTAATGAATCTATGGGTTGTAATAGTCATCTTCAATTCAATGAGTATAAAGAAGAATTGACCATTTTCATTTATTTTGACATGTGAAGACATTATAAACTAAACGTTAGGAGAAAGTAACAAGTGTATAAGCTTTTCTGATCTTGTTTGGTTTTTTAAAGGTTTTGTCTAGCTAGGTTGGGTAAAATATGCACAATAGATTTGATGGGTCATTAGGTTGAGTCAAAAAGGTCCAAGATTATAAGATTATAAGATTAGGATATAATAATGATCACATGTATTGTTTTTATCGTGTGTTACTGATATGGTAGTTAATATGATATTGAAGATTTTTATTTCAACCAAAAAAGTATAACAACGTAAAATATGAACTCATCAGCAGTTTCTGGTTTGTGCAAAAGCTTCTTATCTTCATCATGAAAAATAACTTCTAAAAGCTCGTCATGACGCATCTAACATGATCGTATCATGTCTAGTGTAATCAACACAGTCTAAAAGATTCACATGAAGGCATACACATGGAATTACAAATGAATATACTTGTTCACAAATGAATACATGGAATTACAAATGAATATACTTGTTCTCACGTTCTCAACCTTTTAAGTGTTCTCATT